CAAGCTCGGGGGATAGGGGGATGGCGAAGCGCCGCCATCCCGCTATTCCCCGACCTGATCTGGAGGCTGGGGGTGGGAGAAGCAAGCCTGCTTCTCCCCCCCACCATCCCCACAACCTCCAGATCAGGTCGGGGAACAGCGGGATGGCAGCGCTCCGCCATCCCGCTATTCCCCGACCTGATCTGGAGGCTGGGGGTGGGAGAAGCAAGCCTGCTTCTCCCCCCCCCAGCCCCACAACCTCCAGATCAGGTCGTGGAATAGCGGGATGGCGGCGCTCCGCCATCCGCTATTCCCCGACCTGAACTGGAGGCTGGGGGCTGGAGAAGCAAGCCTGCTTCTCCCCCCCCCAGCCCCACAACCTCCAGATCAGGTCGGGAAATAGCGGGATGGCGGCGCTCCGCCATCCCGCTATTCCCCGACCTGATCTGGAGGCTGGGGGTGGGAGAAGCAAGCCTGCTTCTCCCCCCCCAGCCCCACAACCTCCAGATCAGGTCGTGGAATAGCGGGATGGCGGCGCTCCGCCATCCCGCTATTCCCCGACCTGAACTGGAGGCTGGGGGCTGGAGAAGCAAGCCTGCTTCTCCCCCCCCCCCAGCCCCACAACCTCCAGATCAGGTCGGGAAATAGCGGGATGGCGGTGCTCCGCCATCCCGCTATTCCCCGACCTGATCTGGAGGCTGGGGGTGGGAGAAGCAAGCCTGCTTCTCCCCCCCCCCCAGCCCCACAACCTCCAGATCAGGTCGGGAAATAGCGGGATGGCGGCGCTCCGCCATCCCGCTATTCCCCGACCTGATCTGGAGGCTGGGGGTGGGAGAAGCAAGCCTGCTTCTCCCCCCACCAGCCCCACAACCTCCAGGCTTCAGGAGAGCCCCACCGCCAGCCCCACAAGCTCGGGGGACAGCGGGAGAGGCGCAGCGCGCCTTTCCCGCTGTCCCCCGACTTGTCTAGAAGGCTGGCGGGGGGAGAAGCCTGCTCCTCCCCGTCGCCAGCCCCCGCAAACTCGGGAGACAGCGGCAGAGGCGCAGCGCGCCCTTCCCGCTGTCCCCCGACTTGGTTAGAAGGCTGGCCCAGCCCTGCAAACTCGGGGGACAGCGGGAGAGGCGCAGCGCGCCATCCCGCTGTCTCCCGACATGGTTTGGAGGCTGGCGGAGGGCTTCCTCCTCCCCCAGCCCCGCAAGCTCCCAGAGCGATGCCAAAGCTGCGCGCAGCTTCGGCATGGCTCTGGGTCCCGTTCTGGGGGAGGGGGAAGCTCGGGCTTCCCCGCCCCAGCCCCGCGCCTGGCGGGGGGGGGAATAATTTTTTTTTGCCTTTATTCCCCCCCCCCCAAATCTAGGTGCGTCCTATGGACCGGTGCGTCCAATAGTCCGAAAAATACGGTAGTTGTGTTCCATTATTGGAAGGAGAGAAAACACCCAATACTATAGAAGCAGTAAAGGATGTCTGTTTATCTGATATTTTGATCATTTTAATGGATTGTATCCAGTGTTACTCAAACTCACAGTAGACCATTGAAATGAACAGGGTGGTAGCCAAGTAAGTTCCACTCAAAGTAAGCCATGCATCCATTCATTTCAATGGGTCTGCCCCAAGCATGGCTCAACTTGGATGCAAATTCATGGTTCAGCTCTGAGTAACAACTTAGTTGGATTCAGCCCATTATATTTACTGTTTTTATTGCTTTTAAAAATTGAACATGCACACTGCTTAGAAATTTATTATTATTATTATTATTATTATTATTATTATTATTAAGCAGTATGTCAATCTTGTTGAATAAAAATAAGTAAATATTAGCTCCTGCTCCAAAGCAAACACACAATTGAGCTCAAAGGACACAAAAAGTCAAATATTTGCAGGTTCAGATCAGTGAGATTTTGATACTGCAACCTGCTTTTTATTTTAATGGGATGGACACCCATGAGAGGTGGTGGACTCTCCTTCCTTGGAGGTTTTTAAGCAGAGTTTGGCTGGCCATCTGTCATGGATGCTTTAGCTGAGATTCCTGCATTGGAAGGGGTTGGATTAGATGACCCCCAGGGTCCCTTCCAACTCCAAGATTCTATGATTCTACGATATGCAGTTTGGCTCCTTCTTGAGCCAAGGCAAACTATCCTGGGGTAAAATCTCTCATTCAGAAGTTAACTGTCTATATAATCCTTCAAAGCGCAGGTGCAGAAGTGGTAAAATTGGTTGCCTATATTCTCTCTGTATCTGAAAATAGGGCACCATTAATTGAAACAGCTACTGTTTAGTTATTCTTACATCCATAGGGAATTTCTGTCATCATAATTGATAAGCCTAGGTGGAGAACGGGTTGTCAGAGGATGGACTGTCTGGGTAATAAAGGAAACATCTTACAGCACCCCTATCTTTTGTGTTCCAACTCCCCCTCATCATTATAGGATGCAGATTATAATGATGGGGTGAGCACAGGTCTGTGTTATGTATAACACAGCAGTGTAGGTTTTTTATAACAACAAATTTTATTATGCAAGTCAGAAGCTTTATGAGAAAAGGATGCTGACTTTGAGAGTACAGTGGTACCTCTGGTTATGAACTTAATTCGTTCTGGAGGTCCGTTCTTATCCTGAAGCTGTTCTTAACATGAGGCGCCATTAGTGAAAGTGCGTCTCCCGCTGCATGCGTGCCTCTGGCGTGTAATTTCTGCTTGCATCCCAAAGCAAAGTTCGCATCCGGGAGCAACTGCTTCCAGGTTAGCACAGCTTGTAACCTGACACTTGCGCAACCAGAAGTGTTTGTATCCAGAGGTACCACAGTGGAACCTCGGGTTGCAACATGATCCATGCAGGGGGCATTTTTGCAACCCGCAGCGTTGTAACCCACAGCGCCGTGTCTGCACACACGCAGGTCGCAATTTGGAGCTTCTGCACATGCACAAGCGTGATTTAGCGCTTCTGCACATGTGCAAGCACCGAAAACCTGGAAGTAACCATTCCGATGCTTCCGGGTTTTAGCCAGGTGCACAACCGAAAACCGCGTAACCTGAAGCGTCATGTAACATGAGGGTACCACTGTATTTTAAAAGTTTCACATTGTCTTACAAAGTATTACAGTAATCCTGTGCTTTTGTTGCTGAAAGGAGCTAGGATGTGAAGCAATTATAATTAATCATACCACCTACAACTGACCTACTTAGCAAAAAGAGGGTAAGATGCTGTGGAGCTTTATTTCTGCCATACCTGAGAAAAGCATTGTTATTGTACTAATTCAGAATAAATAGCACACTCCCGAACAAGTCTGGGGTGTATTTTGACAGGACATCAATGTGTAATATTTAGGCATGGTTTTAAAACTAATCCATGGTTCATTTTATTTCTACAAAATAATCATGGTAAGTTAAATAAAAATCACACTATCAGTTTCTCAAGGAAATCAATTAAACTTGTTCTTATCAAGATGAAATGAGAACCATGCCTCCAATTAGTTGAGCTGGGCTCCATGCCATAGAAATAACTCAATACGGCTGCACCTGCTGAATATGCGGCCTACAGGGCATAATTTCTTTATCTTAATGGGATCCTTTGTACATGTTTTGCCACTTGTGAATATTTTTAAATCTAGTAGGCAGCCCTGTGTTATGGGTTCACAGCAAGATTGGGTAATTTTTGACCTCAATGAATTGGACAATTTAAATATCTGTTTTCAATACAAGTACATTGAATGTGATTTTATATTACAGTTGTATGTAATAGAATCTACAGAATAAAATTAACACTTGAGCTAAACTAAAGGTCTGTGTAAAACAGATTTTATTCCCTTTAGAAAGTTTATGACAAACCCAATTAACATCTTGTAAAACAGCACTTGGCATGGAACCAAGTATTATGGAACATTTATATGGTATAGTCCTTTCTGTATGACTGGCAACCGCTGAACCTTACAGGGTGGTGGTTGGCTTGAACAGAGACTTGGGGCTCAACTGCACATCTGCTTGTCCCATGCTTTTAGGCGTGCGTCCGAGAGGTTCATCTTTGGTCCCAGGAAAACCTGCTGTATACTGCTGAATTAGAACAAAGGTAAATCGGGTTTTCTGTGGATTGGTGCTTGTTCTGAATCAACAGTAAACTACAGATTTTCCTGGGGAAAGCGGTGATACAAAAGAAAAATCTATTGAGTCCATGCCTAGAAATCACGGGACAAATGGAAGTGTGGATGAGCCCACAGATAAGAAACTGTATTGGGTCATATGACCTTGCATCTCCCTTGGCACCAATGGTCATCTTAGGCTGCTGCCCAGTTCAGAGCATTTTGGTGCACTAGGCTTTGGTATACTGATATCTTACCCCCACCCCACCCCTGGTACACCGGCAAACATTTGGTAGATGACTTCAAGAGATCTAGCTCACACTGTAATCTGGAGACAAACTCCACAGCTAATGCCTTGTTTCTAAACTTCTGTTTCTGGCAAAGGCTGTTGAGCAGGAGTACAATTTCTCAATTTGGTTTGGTTTTGAATTCCTGTCAGTCTAGATTTTAGCTTGGGCATAGTACTGAAACCATGGTTGCAACTTTGTTTGACAGTTATCTTTCAAAGAACAAAGGGTGCCTTTGAAAAGCACTGTCCATTGGTGAGATCTGCATAATTATTTTGGACAATACTCTTCAACATGTCAGATCCAATTCCCAGCTTCAACATCTGTAATTCTGCAACGCTTTCTCTTTCTCTCATCCCCTCCCCTTCCTGCTGGTCGCCACATCCTGCAGACCTTCTGCAACCAAAACTGCTAATGTGAAAGTACTCAGCAGCAGTCATGTTGGGTACTCTCTCCCACAGTGCACTGTTTCAGAATGTGTATCTGATTAGAGCCTTGCACATGCTTTGTACTGAAAACCGTCCCCACCTGGCTGCTTTTCATTCCTGAAAGTGTTGTTTACTGCAAACAGTAGTATCAGGGGAAACAAAAACCAAGCAGGCAGTGATTTTCAGCAGAAAACCTGTGCAGGATCCCAACTGAGAGCACATTTCAGACTGGGACCCTGCAGCTAACTTTTCTTCAAATTAAAAGTGACCAGGAGAAGCACAATTGTTTAAATACCTGACTAATATCAAATGCAATTTGGTCCTTAGGTGGTGAAATCATAGTTCTGTAAGTCCTTGCCATAAAAAGTCTGCATCCAATTGCAATCTGTAATGTATTTTTAAAAAATATTATATTTTTCTGTAAAATTATGTATTGTATTATCCTAATTTCTACATTGTAAACCACTTTAACTTTAATAAAATAATGTACACTTTTGAAAATAAATAGAAACAAAATAATTTAAGTTGCTCCTCTGTATAAATAATGGAAAAGTGTAGCTCCTCATATACAGTAACTCATTATAACAGCAGTATGCTAAATAGGCAAGAATAGTTTTTTTGTTTTAAAAGTCAGAAGGGTAAAAAAAACAAACAAAGGGAGGCCAAAAAATTCACTTTAAAGAAAGAAGGAATTTAGGGCACTAACATCCTCAGGTTTTGTTTACTCAATGCATTTCTGAAGGGTCATTGGAGGGCATTTTCCCAGGACCATCCTGGAAACATATGGAATGGAATGTATGAGAAAGGGCTTAAAGAATGATCCTAAAAATTGCTGCTCTAGCAAATAAAAGTTTATAACAGGATATACAAGCATGTAAACCCAAATATGGCCCTAAGCTAATAATAAAATCCTGTTATTCTGCCGCAATTATTTATTTATTACTTATTTATTGGATTTATATACAACACTCCATCCAGAGATCTCAGGGTGGTTCACAAGATAAAAATACAATTATTTAGGATCAGGATGAAATTACTGTTTTGAGGTTGTAGGTATTGTTGTTTATTGTTTTAACTGTATTGCATTTTTATATGCTGCCATAAATGTAATATTTCACTAATTAAAAATTCATTAGCTCTCACAAAAGAACATGTTTCTTTGTAACCGCTAAGCACAAAGTCAATAGTAATGAAGCGCAATGGACACTAAGTACAGTTCTGGAATATGATTAGTGGAGCGACTCTTTTTAATTATCTTCTTACCTTGACTGCATAGTTGTTGAGTGGATCTTTTGCATAAGAAGCTGGGTAGTAGACAGCATCACCAGCCTCACAGCATGGCTTGTCACTGGTTAATCTGAAGTCTGACCAGCTGTCTAGCCCAAATCGAAGCTGATCTTTCTGCCCAGACATGAAAAGGTCTTCACATTTGGCAGACAGTTTCTTCAGGGAATCAGTGTGAAGGCTTCTGATTCTGCTCACCACCTCCCCTCGGTTTTCGATTCCTCTATAAAGTGCTTGTCTCTGTGGTTTCTGGACAGTCTTGCCATGTTTGCTGTGGGTAGCAGGTCTACCTGACAGAAACTCCATACTACTGGAACACCTGTCTTTCACACCGATAGCAGTTAGATTGGAAAAACCATTGGCTGCTGATGAGATTGCCAGTCCCTTTTCTGGAGGCCTGTCCAAGGAATCTCCAGACTCATGGTCCATTGCCTTGAATTCGGAGCTGACAGAAGAGCAGGCACTGTTTGCGTCCCAGTTGGTGTCAATGTCATAAGTTGGATTGGCCATCACACACAGGCCACTTTCAAGGGCCTGATTCTGGTGTTCATTTGGAAGTGGTTCTGTGTGAGCTCTTATAATGGTTTTCTTTGGCAATGGAGGTGGTGTGGGATGTAAGGTAGCTGTCATGTCTGGGTCAGATGTTCCCCCAAAAGCAATGGCATCGTCCAAAGCCCCCTTTGGTTGCCGCGGTTGCTTTGGAGGTATCATAGCTGCTCTGGATTGCCCTATGTGACAATAGAAAACAGTCATTGTATTTTTTTTACTTAGAAAGATACATATGCACAAGACATTTTCATTGAGAGAATGAAGAGGAGCATGAGTATCTCAGTTTAAGGCTGGACAGGAAGTAATTCTTTAGTGGGAAGACTGAAACTTCAGAACCTAAACCAGTATCACTATAACAGAGAATATACAGAGAGACTGCAATTATTTGTTAGGTGTTAGTCATTGCCTTGAAGACCTAAATAAAAATCTGTAATTATAAAAACATAGTTGGAATACAGTATATAGAAGGCAAATGTTATCTTCAGTTAGAACTATGTTCAGTTGAACATTTGAAGCCCCATAGCATTGTAGCATTAACTTCCTTAAACCTTTCACATCTCCTTCTACATATACTCATTTAGCACCTATCAAACATGTTCTTAAAGTCATCTACATTTTTTATGGTATAACTATTGCTGAGATCATTGCACATGGGGTGCTGGAGTTTTCATTAAAATGGATTTCAAATAAAATTTAACTCAAAGAGTACATAGAACATTTAAAAATTAAATCTTTACTTCAAAAGTTTGGGAGGCACAAAAAGTTAAGCAACAATATTTATTTTTATGAGTTCTGAACACATATAAAGGTCTGTTTGTTCCCATAAGAACATTAAACCAATGCTTATTCTCATAACCAGTTTTTCAAGTGAATGTGAAAAACTCAGACAACACATAAAGAAATAAGAAACAATATATTTCTGTGCTGATGCAAGGTGCTTACCTAAGTTACTATATGTAGCGCTGCAGGCACTCACATCAGAAGAATCTGACATTTCCTCCCTTTCCACTTGTCCTTGTGGTATTTCGGGAGGGGACAGTGGAACAAGGGACGCATTACTGCCACTTTCCTGATTTTCAATTGCAGATCTTGGAATCCGAGGGGAACCATTTTCCAGAGTTTGTTCATCAGGCACTTGACTAAAACAAAAGCAAAAGTTCCAAATGGACACCAGCAATGTAAATTCTTTAGAGGACTGCAGTCTCAGTTTTACTGAACTGACTCACGGTGCCGCAAAAAGCTGTTTTGATTTTTTCAGAGTTTCTAGCTTAAAAGCTCCTGAATATTCAAAGATGTATCCATGTTCACTACCACATTAATGGTAGATAGTATTTAATAGTATACAGTGGTACCTCGGGATGCGAACGGGATCCGTTCCGGAGCCCCGTTCGCATCCTGAAGCGAACACAAGCCACGCCTGCGTGTGTCGCCACTTCCGCGGATGATGTCATTTTGACCGTCTGCACATGCACGCGTGGCGAAACCCGGAAGTAACACGCTCCATTACTTCTGGATTGCCGCAGAGCGCAACCCAAAAATACTTAACTTGAAGCACATTTATCCCGAGGTTATGACTGTATATTGCTACCATTAACCAGTTTAAAATAAAAAAAAAGGTTAGGCCCAGTATTTAACACTAGAGAGGTAAGCATTCAAAACTCCATAAAATGCATCCTATCACTCAAGGAGAAAAGATAAAGCAGTTTCAGATCTCAGTCAAGAAAACTGAACACACTGGCTCATTGTCACTTAGCATATCTGTAGTATTCAGCACAATGTATTAAACTAAACTAATCATGCAAAACAATAACATCATTTATTCCAATCAGAGAAAGGCTGCAATCTTATTTAAAAATCTATATATACCAATGGTTCTAAATTATTGTCCAAAACAGTGCAAAACAGGACATGGAAGTATACAGGGTTTATGCTGTATCTATGTGAAGGAAGGCAAGGTTTTATCATTAGAGAGTTGTCAATGTCAACATAAAATTGCAGCCTAAAAGTGGTTGATCAAAGTACAAAATGCAGCTCATAAGCAATCAACAAATTAGGGCAACCAATGTTTACATATTACTGAAACCACCTGTACATGCTGGCATAAATCATCCACAAAAGTTAGCAAACCTAGACAGAAAAGTCTTCCCCAAAAACTTGTCATGTTACTGAGCCTTTCATTACTGATGTCTGTTTTATTAACATGTGAAAACCAGTGTAAACCACAACATATTAAGTGTAAAACAGTGCATACAGCAAAGGGTTAGTCTATGTAATTTTCCACATATTAGGACACATTCAAAAATCAAATCTGAGAAGTTGTAAATTCACTTTGGGAACAGAGGCATGGAGGAGACAGTGTTTATCAAACCTTATAACACCCCCCTTTTACTCACCAATAGATAGAGCTAGTCTTTCAAAACAGCCTTCCTCTGATAGCTGTGCTATTTTGAAACAAGGATTCCTGTTACAGGATAGTGTCTCTAAAAACATTTTATTGATTGGTGAAGTACAGAACAGGCTCCTTTCTAGCCCCCCACATATGTGAAATTTTTCTACATATACTTTTGAGAAACATGCTGCCAAAGTAAATCAACAACTAGTAAGGAAGAAAATTAAAAAAGAAAGAAGAGGAACTCACCCACTATATTCACTCACACAGTTCCCCATTAAAGGCAATTCTCTCAGAGCCTTCTTGAGCCTTTGAATCATGTCTCGAAACTCTGGTGAAGCATTTATTCCACTGGGGTCGGGTGAGCTACAAGTTGTGCAAAGCTGTGAGCAACCAGGACTGAACTCTGCATAGGAATGATCTCACCTAGTGCACCTTGATGTTTACCTCCAGGGGATGGTCTGGGGAATGTGCCAGAACACCTCAGGAAAACCAGCAGAAGCCAAGCCAAAGCCCTGCCCTCTTAACCCTCTCCTGACTACAGCACACAGCTGACATTGTTTCAGAAGTCACTTAACAGGCTGACAAAGTCCAAAGAGCAGTTGCTATCTCCTTGGCAAAAAGAATACATATGAATCTGCTTTAAAAACACGGTCACAGAAACAGGGACACACATCGATTTTAGAACTGCAATCATGCGGCAACAGTCTTGATGGAAGGAGGAAACGTCTTCCATTCCCTGGTCAAAGTTGTAAAAAAAGGGAGGGGTTCTGGAGAGCCTCTGTGGGTAACACACAGAATGTGAGATTTTCAGTTCACCACTCAGCTATATACACTATACCATGGGTAGGCAAACTAAGGCCCGGGGGCTGGATGCGGCCCAATCGCTTTCTAAATCTAGCCTGCGGACGGCCTGGGAATCAGCGTGTTTTTACATGAGTAGAATGTGTGCTTTTATTTAAAATGCATCTCTGGGTTATTTGTGGGGCATAGGAATTCATTTATTTATTTTTTCAAAATATAGTCCAGCCCCCCACAAGGTCTGAGGGACAGTGGACCGGCCCCCTGCTGAAAAGGTTTGCTGACCCCTGGACTATACCCTTCATATCTCAAACTAACGTACCTGGTCCAACCCCCTGGCATGCCTGTTATGAGCATGTGTGTGTCTGAGGGAGAGAGAAATTATGGTTCAAGCCCCACATTGGGCAAAAAATTCCTGCATTGCAGGGGGTTGGACTAAATGATCCTGGTGGTCCTTTCCAACTCCAATTCTATGCAAATTACCTTGAGCTCCTAAGATAAAAGTTAGCATAAAGATGCAGCAAACAAACAATAGTTATTTAATTTAATAACTCTATACTACAAATCCTGATCGAATCTGGACTGGCCTCCCTGCAAGGGCAAATACGAGCATCCCAACACCCACTGAAGTAAAGGAATATCAATCCCAAAATAGGAACACAGGAAGCTGCTTTAGCTTAGGGGGGGTGGGGCTAGCCAGGTTTCTTTGCCCCAGGTAAAGCCTCCAGAGGGGTGCCAGCCTGTGTGTGTGTGTGTGTGTGTGTGTGTGTGTGTGTATTCTTAAATCCACCTAGAGATGCCAGAAATTGAACCTAAGCTCTTTGCATGCAAAGCTGGGAAGCGGGAAGCAGCAGGGACTGAAGAAGGAATGAAGAGCCTCCTCTTTCTTTCTTTCAAAAACAAAAAAACCCCACAAGTCTTTATTATTTTCCAGCAACTCAGGACCAACAGTCCAGAACAACAAAGTTTAAGGGCCTCTCATTTATATTCTCTTTCAAACTATAAGAAATGTCAATCTGACATGCAAACTTCTCTCACTAGAAGTAGCAAAGACCTGTATCTACTAAACCTAAACTCAACATAAGACAATGACAATTTCTGATTCAGGCACAAGAATCAAGCAAAGAGGCTAGAGTTCCAAACCGAGGAATGAAGTTTTACAGGTGATATTAATTTTACTGAAAGCTTTAATCTCTTAGCAATTAAATGAGAGAAGTATGACAACATTTTGACTTAGAATCATAGAACTGTAGAGTTGGAAGGGACTACAAAAGTAATCTAGTCCAACCCCCTGCAATGCAGGAATCTTTTGCCCAACACTGAGCTTGAGCCTACAACCCTGAGATTAACAGTCTCATTATCTACTGACTGAGCTATCCCTTCTGGTAGCATCACATTGATCTTCCCTCACCCCCTGCTTCTTCATCAAGTTTCTTGCAGGTGACAAATAGGTCTGTGGATAGACTCCTCCAATGAAGTCTAACCTTAAAAAATCTGATCCAACCAAAATATACAAGAAACTGGATAAAACCTGAGAAACAGCCCAACCTCAAAGTTCCACTGCCTCCACAAATATGCAGCACGATGCATATCCCCTTTATATATAAACAAACATTATATATAATGCATATCCCCTTTATATAATCCACCATTGCAATGATGGGCAATATCTTCAATTTATTGCTGGCCAAAGTGTCTTATGGCCATATGAAAAAATACCGAATGCTATGAATCGCTCAAAGTCCATCTTGACAAAGGCATATTCTTAGCCCATCATTGATGTAAATTTTAAAGTTACTATCATAAACCCTAAGCCTTGGATCAAGTGGTAAGAGCAAGCGTTTTACAGTGAATAAGGTATTGGTTGTGGACTCAATACTTGGATTCAAACTTTTGTTCATCATGAGCTTATTGAACAGTTTGGGAAAATAACTCTCTGTTAATGTACCGTATTTTTCGTCCTATAGGGCGCACCGGCCCATAGGACGCACCTCGTTATTTTTTTGGGCGGGAAAAATTATTCCCCCCCCCCCAGCCGCGACTGCAGCCCCAAGCCTTGCGGACACCCGCCGGAAGCACGGGGAGCCCTCCGGAGGGCTCCCCGTGCTTTGGGCTGCAGGATGCCGCCCCAAGCTTTGCGCGCCCGGCGGGACCTCCCGCCGGGCTTGCAAGGCTTGCGGATAGCTTCCTGAAGCCTGGAGAGCTAGAGGTATCGGTGCGCACCGACCCCTCTCACTCTCCAGGCTTCAGCGAAAGCCTGCATTCGCCCCATAGGACACACATACATTTCCCCTTCATTTTTGGAGGGGAAAAAGTGTGTCCTATGGGGTGAAAAATACGGTAACTATCTCACAGGGTTCCTGTTAGGACAAAAAGGAATAACATCATGCACCCCTCCATTATCTCTATAGAAAAACGGAGAGATACATTTATATTATAATATTGTTCTTGATGTTTGTTGGCTATTCCTCCTGAAACCACATATGCAAGAGAAGCCCTGATTGACTGAGAGGAGGGGGAGGTAGTTAGTTCTGTTAGTGGAATAGATGACCTTTGATCTCAGACAGACCTCAAATGCTCAGTCTTCCTAGAAACAGTAGTAAAGAAAAGGTTCTTGGTACAGAACTAAGATTATTGTGTCATCAGCAACCGACAGACTTCTCTCTTCATTTGCATGTTTGAAAGTGACAAGGCTTCAATGAAGACTTCAGAATGCGCAATGGCAAAACTTCTGCCTGCCAGAGTCCTAAATACATAAAGTAGCTGCAGGGATGACAGCAGAAAAAAGCAGATGCCAAGGAAGAGGTGGGGCGAGGACCCTTGCTTTATTGCATTTGTTGCCAAACTTGCTACCCCAACTGAAGTGCTAGCTGGAGGGAAGGGCACTTGCTCGGCACCCTGCACATGTTTGCTACCCTTGCTCCTTCTTAGGCAGTTTTCCAGTCACCTGTGCTCTCTCCCTCCCCACATCCTACAAGATCATGAGATCTATTGAGAGTTTGGGCAGGCATCTCCATTGCCAAGTCCTGCAGGAGCAATCCGCCCAATACCAGGGCAGTGCATGTCACATCATACGGCCCCAAAGATTGTATGCGATGGGCCCAATCACTGAACCAGTGAACCAGTTACCATTTTTCTTCCTACATTCCACCTCAAACCAGCTGACGGTGGCTTGATAAACCACAACCAATGTTCTATCCTGATCCAGAGTGATTTTCCCCAAATCTGCTGCAATGTACAAAGGTTTTGTGACAATTGTCACAGGTTTCTAAGCAGACTAAGCAAAAGGATTTCCAGAAGGTAGAAAGTTTTAAAAGGTCTTTTACAGTCTCAGTTCTGCATCACTCCAGCCACCCCTGGTCCCAAGTCAAGGACTCTCTTACTATCTGACTGCTAAATTGTAATATTCTAGTTCTTGTGCTAATTAAGCCATATGGGTTACATAGGCACAGATTTTGCTTAAAACAGGATGGCAAATCCTAAATCACAGTCTAAAACAGAACATGAACACCATCTAAATCTGCATTTTGTTTCTACAAAATGTAAACATGATTAAAAGGGCACTTTGGGGTCTGTGTGTGGATTCTGAGCTCATGGACAAAGGGAGGATTCAAGAGAGATGCAGGGAATTTCTCTTGCAATTGCTAAGAGGAGGGTAGTTACAAAAACCCTTGAGAAGGAAATAATACATGGAAACTGTCTACTCCGCTCTTTAAAAATCCCATCGCAGCAGAAATTAGCATCTTTCCAAACCTTCAATTAACAGTCGAATAGTCTCCAACTACAGATGGTGACAGCAGTCATGAAATTAAAAGACGCCTGCTTCTGGAGAGAAAAGCAATGACAAACCTAGCAATGACAAACCTAGACAGCATCTTAAAAAGCAGACATCACCTTGCCAACAAAGGTCCATATAGTAAAAGCTATGGTTTTCCCAGTACAGTGGTGCCCCGCAAGACGAACGCCTTGCAAGACGAAAAACTCGCTAGACGAAAGAGTTTTCCGTTTTCGAGTTGCTTCGCAAGACGAATTTCCCTATGGGCTTGCTTCGCAAGACGAAAACGTCTTGCAAGTTTGTTTCCTTTTTCTTAAAACCGTTAAAACCCAGGGTGCATTGCTTGAAGAGGTGCAGTTGCGACTTGACTTCGAGGAGTAACACATAGCACACGGTGTGGTAGCCTTTTTGAGCTTTTTAAAGACTTTGCTTAATTTTTGAAGCTTTTCCAAAACTTCTTCTGCAGCCATTTGGTAAGCTAAACTTTTGAAATTTTTTGGGGGGGTTTTTGGATTTTGGGTTGGGGTGTTTAGAATTCAAGGACTTGGTGTTGGGGAGAGGTTTGCAAGAATCTGGGAGCTTGTGTGGTTTTTTTCTGCATTTTTATGATTTTTTTGTGGCCACTGGGCCATGTTGTTGTTGTTTTTTTAAATTTCTGGGTTTTGAATTTCTGTGTGCTGGGTGGCTGGGGGAACAGTTGAGGAGGGGTGTGCAAGAATCTGGAAGCTTGTGTGAGTTTTTTTTTAATTTTTATGATTTTCTGTGACCATTGGGCCATGTTGTTTTTTTAAAAAAAATTTGTGGGTTTTGAATTTCTGTGTGCTGGCTGGCTGGGGGAACAGTTGAGGAGGGGTTTGCAAGGATCTGGAAGCTTGTGTGGTTTTTTCTGCATTTTTATGGTTTTCTGTGACCATTGGGCCATGTTGTTTTTTTAAAAAAAAATTTTTGTGGGTTTTGAATTTCTGTGTGCTGGCTGGCTGGGGGAACAGTTGAGTAGGGGTTTGCAAGGATCTGGGAGCTTGTGTGTTTGTTTTTGTTTTTTTGAATTTTTATGGTTTTCTGTGACCATTGGGCCATGTTGTGTTTTTTTTAAAAAAATTGTGGGTTTTGAATTTCTGTGTGCTGGCTGGCTGGGGGAACAAGCTTGTGTGGCTTTTTAAAATTTTTTTATGGTTTTCTGTGACCATTGGGCCACTCTGCTGTTTTTTTTAAAAAATATATTTGTGGGTTTTGAATTTCTGTGTGCTGTGCTGGGTGGCTGGGGGAACA